AATCACAGTGATTTAGCAACAAGTCGGGGACACGATTTACGAGACGGTAAACGCATTCCCCAGTGTACAGTAATTACGTCGAAGGAGCATCAATTGATAGAACTGGCCGCGGCTAATTGAGCTATTTCCAGCTGTTCTATATTTATGCACGCGGTATTCAAATAGCTACAATTTATAGTTAATACCATTTGTCTTTGAAACGATACACGCGTTGACTTATATCGCTCGCGTTTTAATTCATGAGATCTTTATCTCGCTAATGTGTTATCTCGTACGCGTTAGTTATTCTCGATAATTGTTATCTGTGCGTAATTTACGGTTCTTTTTTTATAACAGGCGATCTATCAACCGAAGATAAATCATGTCTTCTAGTTTTCTCAAATTGCTGAAACTGATTCGATTTCAACTTCGTTACTAATTTTTTTGTAGTAATTTTCTTTTCTCTAAGAATACAAAAGTAGGATTTGTCGATAGTTACGGATGATTTAAATTGTGTGGGACAGAAGGCCGTCATCCATTGTTCACATAATGCTTTTATCCCAATTATACTGTTGTCGCAATAATCTGTGCAAAGAGGACAGCCATGAATCGTTGTATTAACACCGTGCAAGCTGCCAGTGTACATAATATGGCGCCAATCGAGGCTGGCTCGGGGATAGAAAGGGCAAAGAGCGGAGCGTAATTCCACGGTATCGGCGTGGACCGCGAGAAAGCAATCATTAGATGGTAATGATAATCCGCGGGGGAAAAAAGCTTCCAAGTTGTTGGCGATACCACGTTGGAACACGGGGAAACGTGCCTAATCGGAAATACCAGTGTAATCGGTCCGTGCGTAACTGTTTCTCGCGAATTTTTATAATCCGCGAAGATGGCCAATTACGTTTTTAAAAAAAATCACGGGAAGCAGGAAAGCAAAATAATGTAACCGTATCCTTGTCTTTATGACGAGAGAAGAGAAATCATGGATTAAACGCGTTTACTATCTTGATCTAATAAAAAGACGATTATTTAGGTGTACCTACATAAATTGCAGGAAGCATACACGGGGCGAAGTAATAAACGATGCCAGTCTTGCGTTTCATAGTTCATAATAAGAAACACATTTTTACGCGGATCCAAAGAAAAACGGAGGATTAGTCGAACAGTGAGATAAATCAATTATTACCTTCGCTAAGCCGCAGGGAGGTACGCATAAAAATTTGCAACACTGTCCGTCCTCGCTTTTATGAGAAAGGAAAATAGAATGATCAAAATGAAAGCGCGTTCACTAAATTAAGAAATTTATGTTCATTAGCTCCCGAAATCTCGGTGGTTTCGCCATATCCGCGCGGAGCTGGGGATCGTTAGCGATCCGCCGTAAGTACGATACGTCAAGCTTAAGGATTTCCTCTGGAGGACGTCGCCGTACGAAATTTCGTGCAGCTGCGCGAGGAACGGTTGACGTTTATTGGCCAGGGCACAATGTAACGTCGTGGCCGTGGCGCGGCGCGGTTTGGTTGAAGGTACGCGACGAGCTTTGCGCTACGAGGAACGCGCGCTCAAATCTTACCGACACGCGTACTTTATGGGTGTAATTACGAGCCCTAAAACTTAGCCCGCTCGTATCGTGACAGCAAAATTGCACGACGACGATGATACGATAAGGGTCTTCGGCCTCATAAATTGGCAGCGAGATAAGGCTCAATCTGTTCGATGCCTTTTTCTCGCCGCGCTCACCTGGCAGGCCAGAAGAGGAAGGAGAAGCCTGGAGACGGAGATGAAGCATGCCACCGCCTTCCCCTCTTGGTGTTTCCCCCCCTACGTCTTCGCGAACGATCGTGAAGATTATGCTAACGTTTCGATGATTTACACCGCCCTGGAGATTTCGTTTAGACGTAGTCCTCGCTCACGGGGATACGGGGATACCTCCGTTCTTCGATGAATTCGGAGCGTTCGGCTGTGGTACCCACACAGGTGCTTACCTGGACGAGTTATGGGGCGCAGGTGGAAAGTTATCCCTCGGACGTAATGACTCTATCCTCCGCGCGCGGGGCCTTTCTCTCCGAGGACCGTGCCGTGCCACGAAGAACCGGTGGTGTTACGGTAATAGTCCGTGACTATATGGTTGACCGCGACTATCTCGAGCTACGGAGGGATCAACGGGACCGGCCACGGGGCTATTTCACGCGTACACTAGTGCTCATAAGTACATTGATCGTTCTGAGTTACATTAAATATCAACAATCATAATAAATTACATAATTTTAATTTTAAATGAATTTTAAATTAACGAAAATTCTATAAAAGATTTACAATACGATAATATATTGCAATTTTGAAAATAAACTGATTATACAATTTTTCATGATTCACAGAAAAAGAATTTCAATACTTAAGATTATTCATTAGATTCTGTATCAACAAACATAAATTTTCTATCACCTGCAATTAAATCCTAATCGCTACTTGATCAGTTACAATTAAGTTCCAGTTCATTTAGCTAGATTTCTTTTATCTCAACGGCTATAAATCTGCGACGACTGTACTTAAGTACGTGTGGCTAGCTTCCTTGTTCGCGCTGCGGCTTTCACAGCCTAACGTGTATTGCGTTTGACGTAACGAATGTAATACCGATTTGTTAGGACTGCGGTAAGCGTGGTTTTATCCATCTCACCAGTGATACCGGTATTACTTACACTGGGAGTTATAAACAATTATAGAACGGTGTGATAGAGAAAGTGTTGGGAATTCTATTCAATGTACAACATTTTATTTTCATTACAGAAACATTACAAGCTTGTTGATAAATGAAAGCATTTCTGATTCCCATCGTGTATTTCATATTAAATTCAATATAATTTAATTTGTGTTGGACACATTAATGAACAGTCTGAAACCGTACTTGACGAAAATTAACGTTGTTAAGCAAGTTAAAGTAGCGCGAAACGAATAAAGGTATTCCAGTTTATCTAATTAACTCTGCCCGCGTTGATTGGTATCTTCTGAACGAATAGTCCTCGTACAGAAGTCGTCCGCTTCCACGAGGGAGCGTCTACTTACCCCGCGTCCGGGCAATTAGCGCCGGTGATGGGTTAATTGGTCTCGGTCCTCGTTTTCGTCGCGTGACGAGCCTCGAGAGATGGGGAGATTCCTTCGGGTAGCAAAATGCTCGCGAACGGCTACGTAAAAAGGGCGCCGCGGCTGTTCCAAGCTGCACGCTTGCGAACTGTGGCAGCGAGCCTCTAGTTCTAAAAAAATTCTATCATGACAGGCAACAATTAAAATAAATGTACATGTATTAAAACTACAATTAAATAAATACGACTGTCTTTTAATTTGATTAATTTTTAATAAAGATGCTATTAATGAAAATATTTAAATTTATAATCTGTTCATGGGCTATGAATTAACGAGAGGAAAACGATTAACAGTGACTCAGCCTCGAAATTGCTGTCCAAAATTGAAAATATTTTATCGGTGGTGAAAGGGTTAAATGTAATTCCCGAACGCAGCTCGTAGAGTACCATTAAAGACCCGAGGAACACGGGGCAGCGCTCGTTCCAGGAAGGAAAGGGATGTAACCTGTCCGAGCAAAAATGAATTCGTTCGTTTCGGCGATACAGACCAAATGTCGCGTCACGGTATATAAAAGCATGTACACACGTATATACGTTTCCCTTTTCCGTGCCACACGGCGTTGCTCTCGCCCACGATCGGCGATCCTTATCTACGGTCGTATCTCGGCCGGTTCGCGCCTCCGCGAGCCGCTAGACGCCTTTAATCGCGGTACCCAGCTCGTGTATCGCCGGAAATTGCGAGCGACCGTCCCGATTCCCCGTGAACCATCGCATCGTTCACCGTTCGTTCGAAACCCGTTCAGTAAGGAAGGAAAGGAAAAGGAATTGACTGATCAGCCCGATGACCTGGAAGCCTGGCCTTTCATTTGCCAGATGACTGAGTCGATGGATTCTTTCTTTTCGGAGATTGGTATTTTAAATGACTGTGTTTACTGGCGATGGTTGAGGCGCGTCGTAAATTCGACCAGGCGTCGGACACGTGTTTCGGTAAACTCCGGGCCAACGAGGTACGAGAAATATTGGAAAGAAAGGGTTCAGAATTAGGCTGTGTCCAAATAAAGTTGTAGATCTCATAATCCCAGGTTGAAACGAATTTTTAGTCTTCATCTTTCTTATTTTGAAATTCGAAAATAGCTCCACGAACGAAATGAAAAATAATATTCTAATTATAAATTGGAACATCGAATGTGAAGATAGAATCGAACGAGCTATTCAGGTTTAGAAACAGATAATTCAGAAGCAAGCTATCTAATATCACACGTGTGAAAGTCGGAGAGCATAATAGCAGAGTATCGTCAAGTGTCTTTCCTGAGAAGGATCCAACGAACTGGAACTGAACACAAGTATACGCTACACAGAAAGAAATGAGAGCAAAGTGGCACAGGCGACTCCACCTCCTATTCGCCTGGAAGAAACGGAAGGGAAACAGACAGGGTAAGATAGCGAGCGGCAACCAGTGGAATAATGTCTCTATTCTCGCTTCTCTTCGACCGGCTCGGCGCATTCTCCGGGCTCTCGTTCTACCCGATAATTACACGTTACCGAAGCGCACTGGGCGCCCTTCAATTAGACCGTGGAATCACCTGCTTCCATGCCGACCGACGAAAAACTCTTCCACGTCGTCGTCGACCGTGAACCAGCCCGTACACCCCTTGGGGAATGCTTGTCCTCGAGTCGTGTTCTCTAGAGTCCTCGCAAGAAAGTGCTGCCTCAATAACCCTTTTTCAATCCGTTTTTCATTTATAACAAAGTGAAATGATTGAATTCAAAAGGCAGAAAAGGAATACAAGGAGTAAAAGTATTACAAAACTTCTTGCTACCAGCTAAATCCCATAAGAATTGTATAAATTTTAATTACATGACAAATGTATATATAAATTAAAACATTGTGACTACAAGAATATAATTTCATATTAAATTTTAATTTTATGATTTTAGGTTTACATATACAATAGAGTTACAACCGAAATATTAAATTATCACTTTTTAACAGTTTAATATTTTAATAGTATTGCTGATAATTATTTTATCTGTCGAAGCTCTTGGGTAGGGGATTAAAACGACTGAAATGGAGCCGTTCTCATAGGTGTCCTAAAAGCGCTTAGGGAAGGCCGAGTACATGGAGGGTGCTTCGTTCGAAAGTATCCTGCGCTACGTGTTGAAGAACATGAAGATCACGCAGGCACGGGCAAGTTTCCTGGTGATGGAGGTGCTCAAGGCTGGAGTCGCACTAGGTCGGATCAAGAGGACTCCTCGGGGCACTTACTTGCTAGCTACCGACAAAACCGCTCACAACATCCTGCACCACGTCAGGGAGCCGCGATTCACCGACGACAGCGACGACGACGTCTCCTCGGAAGAAAGCCTGTGATCAGAACTCTGTCTACTGTGTCTTTGTTCAGTGAGAAATCACGTCTTCATCTTCTTGTTATTTGTTACATTCAGTGTCTAATAATCAGATTTAATAAAAACGTATATGTCATATCGCTTGAAAAAAGGATTTTTAATTGTTAGAAGATGAAGTAGTGTATGAAATATGTAATTTTAAGAACGAAGCAGATGCTGTTCAACTTCAAAAGATGAACTATTTTATCATTTCTCCATTCCTTTAAATTAAGTATTAGAAAATTCAGTGTCTAAATTATTTAGTATGAAATCCTAACACGAGTTTTAAAATATGAACTCTACTACATCGTATCCATAAGAGACCTACCTAGGCGAGGAGTTGTATGTATGGTTGACAGGAAGGAGCGTCGTTGTCGGCACTTTGCAACAATGTGGAGAAACGTCCGCGGCATCCACGGCTGTTTGATTTGTGTCCCTTTGTGAATAGGCGTTTTTCATGCATCCGTGCTCCCTGCACCGGAACGATGTAGCTCGTTTCTCCCGGTACGTATGTTAAGGGCCTTTTAAAAGACGTCCTCCGAGTTTATCCCGCTGCGCTACCGGTACCAGTTTCCGTTCGCCACACGCTACACATAGGCGAACCTCGCGCTAGCCGTTGCCTCTTGGCGTCCAGACGAACCCGTCCCTCCCTCCCTCCAACGCTCGCGCTGTCTCTCTTCTGCTTCTTCCCTCGCCTATTTTGTAGGAACCAACCTCTCCGTCTCCTCTTCCTAACCCTTTCGCTTTTCATCTCCGTTTCTCCATCGCCATCGGCTTCTTCTTTTTCGAGGTGCTGCAGGTGTCGTGCAT